CATGGGGACAGGTTGGGTCTCCATCACCTGTTGGGGCTGTTGTGCCTGGGCATGAGGAGCACCCTTGGGACTCTGCAGAGCAGCTGCCCTTCCTGGGCTGTCCAGCAGCCCCTCCAGGGGCTCCTCTGCCTCTGGGTTTGCCCCATCCTGCTCTGTCCCCCTGCTGAGCTGCTCAGGAGCTGATTCTGTGTCTGTTTGTCCCCAGAGAACGTTCCGAGAGGTCGTGTTCCTGCAGGTGAGGTCCCTTCCCCCTCCTCCCTGCTTGCTGATCCCCTCTGATGCTCCTCACATCTTCCCTCCCCGACCCTGTTCAAGCTGCAAGGACCAAACCCTTCCCATCTCCCCCCTGCACCTCCAGGCCTGGGCAGGAACCCCTGAAGCAGCTGGAGAGTTGCTCCTGTTTTCCCTGGGGGATTGTCCTGCCCTGTGCTGTCCCCAGCTCTGTCTGCTCCAGGAGCTGCTCCCTGACCTGTTTTCCTGCCTCTCCCTGGGCACAAACTCCTTTCCCTCCATTTCCAAAGGCCCAGCTCAGGGCTGGGCTGGGAGGGGATTCACACCCCAACACTTCTTGTCTTGTGTCACCTGGGGAGGAGCCTGAGCCCTTGGAATGATCAAAGCCAGAGCTGGAGGGGAATCCTGTGTGGAACCACTTCACCTTCTTTTATTGGTAGAACCAGGGAGGGGGTTGGGCTGGAGGGACCTTAAAGCCCATCGAGGTCCAGCAGGGACCCCCCCCAGCAGCCCAGGCTGCTCCAAGCCCCATCCAACCTGCCCTTCAACACCCCCAGGGATGGGGCAGCCACAGCTTCCCTGGGCAACCTGGGCCAGGGGCTCCCCACCCTCACAGCCCAGAATTTCTCCCTCCCATCTCAGCTCCAGCTCCCTCTGCCAGCTGGAAACCCTTCCCCCTGCTCCCATCCCTCCCTGCCCTTGTCCCAAGTCCCTCCCCAGCTTTCCTGGAGCCCCTTCAGGCCCTGGAAGCTGCTCTCAGGTCTCCCTGGAGCCTTCTCTTCTCCAGGCTGAACACCCCAACTCTCCCAGCCTGGCTCCAGAGCTGCTTCAGCCCTCCCAGTATCTCTGTGGCTCCTCTGGCCTCTCCAGCAGCTCCGTGTCCTTCCTAACTCATATCTTAGGCCACAGAGGTTTTATTTGCTGTTCTTTTATGACCTGCCTGGTTTCATCCTGGGGAACGAGCTGAAATCCTTGTTAAGCACATATTTCAGTAGAGCAGAAATGTAGGAACTGACCCAATAATTCCTGTTCTGGACAATAATTCAAAACTAAATGGGATCTTGGTCCTTCCTTGTGCTTCACAGCCAAGGCACCTGATGCTGACAGGTGGGTCTGTTCCCTCTGCAGGAGTTTGGAGCCCATCCCAACATCATCAAGCTGCTGGATGTTATCCCAGCTGAGAATGACAAGGACATCTACCTCATCTTTGAGTCCATGGGTGAGCCTGGTGGTGTCACCCTGCAGGTGCAGCTTTTCTGTGTCCCCTGCTGGGGTGGCAGCGCCAGGGTGGGAGGGACATCTCAGTGCAGGTGAGCAGGGCTTTGTGTGTCACCTGGGAGTGGAGCCACACACAGGGAGGGAAACAGAGAGGTGGGGCTGGCAGGGACCCCTGGAGACCCCCCCTCCCAGCCCCCAGGGCAGGGTCACCCCCAGCAGGTCCCACAGGAGCCTCCAGAGGGGCTGGGGTGTCTCCAGAGAAGGAGCCTCCACAGCCTCTCTGGGCAGCCTGGCCCAGGGCTCTGCCACCCTCCCAGGCAACAAGTTCCTCCTCCTGGGGAGCTTGACCCTCCTGTGCTCCAGCTTGTGCCCATGGCCCCTTGGCCTGTCCCTGTCCTGAGGAGGAACCTCAGCAGGTCCCTCTCCCCCAGCTCAGCCCCCTGTGGTGCCCCCCCCCCACACCCAGTTTGGTGTCACCAGTGGAGGTGCTGAGGGGACACCCTCCTTTTCTCTAGATCAGTGATGGAGGTTGGACAGGACCCAGCACTGACCCCTGGGGACACTGACCCCTGGGGACACTGACCCCTGGGGTCTCTGCTGGTTCCAGGCCTCCCACACAACCCTGCACCCCTGGTCACAACCCTCTGGGCTCTGTCCCTCAACCAGTTCTCCATCCACCTCCCTGCCCACCCACCCAACCCACCCTGCTGGGTTTCTTCATGAAATGGGAAGAGCAGTGAAGCCTCTGAGGGACTGGTCCTGCCCTGAGGACTGGCTGCTGGAGATGAGGGAGCAGTGAGGAGACACCAGAGGGGCTGCAGGGACGTGGGTTTTGCCCATGGAAGGGACCATTTTGTTGTGCTTTGGGGCAGTGGCTGCAGCAGGAGCTGCAGGTCCCACTGAGGTTGCAGGAGCATCAGAAGGGGCCGTGTGAACCTCTGCTGAGGAGCACACAAAGGTCACACCTTTGGCCTTGGTGTGAGGACCTTCTGCCCGGGACTTGCCAGCTGATCTCAACAGAGAACCATAAAGGATGGTTTGGGCTGGAGGGACCCTCTGGGTCTCCCCACCCTTTTCACTGGTGTGTCTGCCCCACGCTGCAGAGACAGATCTCCACGCCGTGATTCAGAAGGGGGGGCTGCTGAAGGACATCCACAAGAGCTACATCCTCTACCAGCTCCTCAAGGCCACCAAGTTCATCCACTCGGGAAACGTCATCCACAGGGACCAGAAGGTAGAGCTGAGCCCAGTCCCTCTGCCCCCCCAGCCCAACCCCCCCGGGGAGGCTCTGCAGGGGGAGCAGCTGGTGGGGACCCTCGGGGTGGGCAGAGGGGGCAGCTCCTGCTCCCCTGTTCCCTCAGCCCTCCAACGTGCTGCTGGACGCCGAGTGCTGCGTGAAGCTCTGTGACTTCGGGCTGGCCCGGTCCTTGGCCCAGCTGGGGCAGGACCAGGAGGACCCTGCCCTCACTGACTACGTGGCCACGCGCTGGTACCGAGCCCCCGAGATCCTGCTCTCCTCCCCCAGGTACCTGCCCAGCACCAGGAGCTGCCAGGGCCACCAGGGCTGCCCTCCCTGCTCTGCAGCTCCTCGGGCTTCTCCTTTTCCCTGCCCAGCAGCCCCACTGTCCTCAGGGTCTGAGCTCCCCTGGGAGGCCCCACCAGGACGAGGGGGAGGTGGTTTTAAACTGGAAGTGGGGGGGAGATTTTGGGGTTGGATGTTGGGATAGAGATTCTTCACCGTGAGGGTAGGAAGGTGCTGGAACAGGGTGCCCAGGGAAGCTGTGGCTGCCCCATCCCTGGGGGTGTTGAAGGGCAGGTTGGATGGGGCTTGGAGCAGCCTGGGCTGCTGGGAGGTGTCCCTGCCCATGCAGGGGGGCACTGGGAGGTGTCCCTGCCCATGCAGGGGGTTGGATCTGGATCATCTTTAAGGCCCCTTCCACCCCAAACCACTCTAGGTTTAGGTTGACATTTAGGATTGAGATCGAAGGTGGATTTAGGTTGAACATTAGGAGAAAGTTCTTGAAGATGAGGGTGGGATGGGTTGCCCAGAGAGGCCCCATCCCTGGAGATGTTCAGGGTCAGGCTGGATGGGGCTCTGAGCAACCTGGTCCAGCTGGAGATGTCCCTGCTGATTGTAGGGGGGTTGGACTGGGTGACCCTTAGAGGTCCCTTCCAACCCAAGACATTCAATGGTTCTGTGATTTATAAGTGGTGGAGTCCCCATCCCTGGAGAGGTTTCCAAGCCCTGGAGATGGTGCTGAGGGACACGGGGCAGTGGGGAATGGGCAGGGCTGGGGAATGGGTGGGACTGGGGGATGTCAAAGGGCTTTCCAAGCAAAGTGCTTCCATGACAGCACAGCAGCCTCCCCACAGGGACAGTCCCTCCCTGGCTCGTCCATCACACAGATGATCAGCTCAGCTCCTTGTCACCCCTTCTCCCACAGGCTTTTCTTTCTCCACTTCAACCTGCATCTTCACAAAACCTGGGTCTCCCCTGGGTCTCTCCTCCTCTTGTCTTCTCCAGCTCCTTTGCTAGACTGGTTTGTTGGTGAACAGACGTGTTGGGATGAGCTGTGGAATCAGCTCCAGTCCCTTGGGCTTAGTCCTTTTGTCTTTAATTCTTATTTTTGACTGAAACTCTCGAGCAGAAAAGCAAGGAGGTGCAGGTTGGGGCAGTGCCCAGACCTGACACCAGGTGTCCTGCAGTGTCTTTAAATTGCCTAAATGATGGGAAGTCCTTCCTGGACACCCTGCAGGTCAGTGGTTTCCAGGCAGTGAGTTGGTCTCTCCCAGCTGGGAGGGGAGGGTTGTCTCATCCTGCTCAGACCTTGTGGTCCCCTGGAATAGCTTTTCAGGTGGATGAAGCCCCTTTTTGTTTGGTTCCTGCCAGTCCCACCATTCCCAGGTCTCCTTCCCAGAAGTCCTGGGGGGCTTTTGTGTTCAGGGAGGCCCCAGGTTGGTTTTCCTACCACAACAAACACAGGAGATGATGGGGATGTTGGTGCAGGAAGTACCTGCTGGATGGAGTCCTGACTCTGCTCTGCTCCTCTAGGTACACCAAAGGTGTGGACATGTGGAGCCTGGGCTGCATCCTGGGGGAGCTGCTCCTTGGGAAGCCTCTTTTCCCAGGCACATCCACGGTGAATCAACTGGAGCAGATCCTGAGGGTCATTCCTGCCCCATCCCCAGAAGGTAGGACATGGGAAAGGGGCTCCAGGAGGAGGTTCAGAGAGTGTAGGAAGCAGGATCAGGGAGGGAGGGATCTCCTGAGTCCTGACATCTTCCCTGGGAGCTCAGGGACCTCCCTGTGAGAGGGACATCACCTGACTAGATGAGGAGCAAGAACCAGGCCTTGAAAAGCATCTCTGAGATTTGTAAGAGGATAAAAGTTGAACCCAGAGTCTCCTGCTTGAGTGGGGCTGGGCCAGGAGAGGGAAGTGGGGCTGGTTGGGCTGGAATTTGAAACACAAATAACCTCCCAGAGCAGCTGTTGGGTCTCTGGGGGGGCAGGTGTGTCCAGACTCCAGTTTGTTGTCACCAGTCAAAAGGATGATGAGGAAATCAGGTGTCCCTTGTCCCCTGTGTCCCACACCCAACCCAAACCAGTTCTGGGATTCCCTGATTATGATGATAATGTTCTCATGACTGTTCTCATTCCTGTTGTTACTGTCACTCACACGTTCCCCTCCAGCAGCCCATGCACTTTATAGATTCTTGCACATCCAGATGTTCTCCCTGAGCTGGCAAATGGTTCTTGGACAAACAGCTGCCCCCAGCTGAAGGGCACCCCAGGCCTGGGGTTAATCCAGCCTGAAGTTACTTACAGGGGTTTTTTTATTGGAGATTTGGTTGTTGTGGATGAAACAAGAACTGAAAGGTGTGTGTGGAAAGGCCATGAGGAGAGGTAGAGGAACAGGCAAATAATCACCAAAACTGTCACCAGGAGACCAGACACAGGTCAAAACAAAGGAGAACCCACCCGTGGGCAGCAGCTCTGCCTGGGATTTCTGGGGGCCAAAAAAGCAAGATTCTGAAGGAAAAACCTCCCAGAGCAGCTGTTGGGTCTCTGGGGGGGCAGGTGTGTCCAGACTCCAGTTTGTTGTCACCAGTCAAAAGGATGATGAGGAAATCAGGTGTCCCTTGTCCCCTGTGTCCCACACAAGTCCTGGCTGGGTCATTTGGCCACAGATCCTAGAACCATGGAAGGGTTTGGGTTGGAAGGGACCTTAGAGAGCATCTAGATCCACCCCCTGCCTGGGCAGGGACCCCCCCCAGCAGCCCAGGCTGCTCCAAGCCCCATCCAACCTGCCCTTCAACACCCCCAGGGATGGGGCAGCCACAGCTTCCCTGGGCACCCCGGGCTGGGGTCTCCCCACCCTCAGGTCCTGGGGGGGTGGGAGGGGGGGGCAGGTCTGTGGGATCCCTGCTGGAATGAACAGGAATGGGGAAAACCAGCAAGGAACTGCCCCCACCCCCCCAGCAGCCCCCCTCAGGCTGCCACGTTG